CACACAGATTAAACTCAGCTCTGGGCTGCCATCTGGGTGTAATGACCTCCGTTTTAATAGTACTTCCGGGTTAACACACAAATAAGACTCCTTAGCTTAATAAGGTTAATGTACTAATGTGAACCCACTGATGGGTTAATACACTACAGTTTGGGGTTGGTTGGGGGTTCGTCGTCCGGGAGAAATGAGTGACGCTGTCTAGGTTGAATTTGGGGTATGTTGCTTGGCTTCGAGAGTACCTTCTGAGATTCGCATAGGTGATATTTGAACTACTCAACAATTATTTACACAAGTTACTGTATGTCGTTTTCATCACTTTATAATATAACACACACTCAGAGTTGCACGTTCCAAGGCCTAAATGTGGTGAGCCGTACTGAACCTATCTGTCGTTCACTCGGTCTTTGACCCAACTCTCTCGTTGACCAGCTACCCTGTACACTCCTCTACTAACCCTGACTACTTAGTAACTAACTGTCTCACTGTCCTAACTCGTACAGTTGCATTGTGGGATGTATCGTGTTACCTTGAGATCACTACTCTCTCTTGCGTAATCATGCAAATTGTAGTGCGCCCGCAGCGACGGAGTTAAATACAATTCGGGCAGCAATCACCTCTGTGATTGCTCATATAGCCAAAGGGAATGCTTACATGTAATTTTAAGTGTATCTCAGACTGGTGACAAAAGCATGAATAACGGCTAGGATAAAAGATAAATTGCAAGCTCGTCGAATCGTACATAGCGGAAATGACGTAAACATTTTACTCCTTCCATTATGTTTCTTAAATCCCAATCAAAAAACTAACTTGATTTTCATTGCCCTTCATCATTACCGCGTAAGATTTTAAAGTGCTTTAACAAAATATGTCCTTAATTCCTATGTTATGTAGCGCAAGTATAACCCGTTTTTATCACGTGTATTTCGACACTTGATGCAACTCTGTCCGAGACTAAGCTCCGTTACGACATTTGCTTAAACACTGTAAGTTACAGTGTGAATCAGTCGGCGTTGTGTAAATGGATGTCGAAATGAAGTCGTCATCAGCATTAACACAAATATCAAGAAGTGTTATTTCAAAGCTATACTGAATAGTCAAAAATACACAAACGTAATTTCTACTCGATGAAGATCTGTTAATTTCCGGAATGACAAAAGTGATTTTTTTAATTTAACATTTAAATTACAACAATTCAACTATTAGAATTGGATCCTAAACATATACACCTGTATGCGTACGACAAGAAGTATGATGTATTATTTAAACATGATTAATCAAAGCATGTCTGAATCACAATCTCATAACCACGTTTATTCAGCTATTATGAATCTGATCCGGGAAACAATGACGTACGTGTTTCCATAATATCCAATATATGTTCAAAGTTTGAAAGAAATTAGCCTTGAACGAACAAGATCAAGTTCCGGGTGGCAAAAATGCCTGATTTTAATGAAACATCAAAATCGTCAAATTGACATATTATCGTGTTTATGTACCCAACGATATGTAGTGTGTGGGTAAAATTGAATATGATCGACGGAGACATTTCCGAGATACATGTCTGAACAAACAAACAAACTGCGCTCTAAAAGGAACTTAACATTTATTGCCAAATTTGAAACAGTTACTAGTCAAAACCAACTACACTAGACAAAGCAAAAATATGTTCCAGTACTGCTCTCCCACGAAACGAAATGTGTTACTGATATAACATCATCTGTGAGTTGAATGTGTTTTACATCTATTGAAAACAAATACCTAGGCATATGCGAAACCAAATAATTCTAGTTTTTTTAGCATCATTAATTTCTATATTAAAATCGAGTCTGATCTAGATGAAACCCAAACTTAAATTTTCTTCAAAACATTAAAACAGTTTCCAACTTGCCAATCAATGTGTTTAGATAATATAAATACATTCGCCGAAACAATACGACCTAGTCTGCATTTTCTTTGCATTTGCATAATTTCTTGTAAACGACTACCACATTAGTGTACAACAGCTAGATCACTTTTATTTGAAACCAAACTCGTCCTCCTACACAATGGCGAATCAGACTTGTTGTAACAGTTCAACGATAAAGTTCTCTAATGAACATCAACCACTATTAAATAAGTATAATATTTATTTTTCTTTGAAGGTTTAAATCAGCAACATGCTTACTTATATCCTGCATAATATCTTTGATATTCTTAACACTCCAACTAATGTTATTTTACTGTTGTTGGTGTTTATCATAACATATGGATTGTTCAGTTTACGTAAACCATCTGAATTTCCACCTGGACCAATGGGATACCCGTTTATTGGCTCTATGATAGGTGAGTATATCCCAAACAATATTTGCAATTTGAGATTGGCCCCGACCTTTTCTATATGCTGCATATGAAGTGTTTCAATATGTTGTGACGTCATGAGTTAAACAGGGAACATATACATACACAATTGTGAAAGACTCTTTTTTATCGGAATTTAATTTCATGACGTCATAATACTGACAGGTCAATCATATATTTTTATACATTTTGCAATAACAACCTATTTTCGATTGATTGCATTGTAAGTTTATTGCGTTCTGTTGACCAGCTAAATATATATTTGTCAATGTGAGAATGCCTGCTAGTAGGCCTATTGTTGTTTCCTGAAGCAATTATGTGTTATGTGTTTCTACAATTTGTAACACAATAACAGACAACTGTAATCATGAATCTATAAATTTCTCTCTAAGTTTGTTACCTTTATTGAGATACTCACGTTCAAACATATTATTACATTTTCTCATCGAATATTTTATTCATATATTATAAATTGTAATACATTTTGAACTTCTAGCCAAATATTTGTGTTTTGAGAGTTTATTTAAAATGTCAACAAAATATATACTAAATAAGGTAGTAGGTGAGTGTAAATGTATATGAGGAGGTTGATAAGAAGTTTGAACATGTCTACAGTATTGTTGGTCATAAAAGTTGTGCAAACGAAACAAGATGAACTGTTAATAAATATAATAAAAATATTTAGTAACTTTAATAATTTTCAGACTTCTTATATGTGTTATTCATTATTTTAATATTACATATTATTATTGTGGTATTTGAACTAAAATATCTTGCTTATTTGATCTTTTTCTAATATCTTATATATTTATCAATATTATGATATGTTAGGCCAAGCAGAACAATTTTCAGAGCAGCCATTTGGGGTATAAAGTTGAAGTTATTTCAGAAAAAAAATCCCGGCTATAACCAATCGTAAACTTATTTTCAACAAGTTGAATAATAATCAGCTTTAACAATGTTTGTCAGATTTGATGAAGGAACCCCACCTAACTTTGACGAAATATGGCAAGAAATATGGAGATGTTTTTACAATGAAGATTGGCAGTCAGCCTGTGATTGTACTCAACTCCTTAGATGTTATTAAAGAAGCATTGGTGAAGAAACAGAATGATTTTGCTGGGAGACCATATTTTTATTCATGTAAGTCAATAAACTGAGACGATTTAATGGTTTCAATTTGAGACACTAAATCGAAGGTTAACGTTTTTGCATTTGCGCATATTCATAACATCATTTTTTTCCGATTTGATAAGAAATTAACCTACGAAATTCGGATAGGCCGCAAGTATCTCTCGACGTCATTTCCGGAATATGTGCGATTTTATTTGCCTTACGCCACAATGTGAATTTAAATTTGTTACATGACCTTTGTGCTAGAAATGTTGTTCAGTAGTCCAGTCAACTTCTAAATAATTTAAATAAATTAGTTGAACGTCCTGGATAAATTTTGGATAAATGGGTGTGCTCACATGAGATGCATACTAACATGATTCGTTTCGACAAAAACACATGTGATTTCGTACTTGTTATTCCCAGTATGTAGCACAACAAGCATGTCGACATACGTGAAGTAAATCATCATACAACGTGAGATAAATAACTTAATAAATCATTCAATCAAACCATATTATTATGTAATTATAGATCTTTCCACTTGAGCTAGGAACAGCTCAAATTTGTTAGGAGGGAAATATGTCAGTGTAAAAGTAAAAGGTCACGTGTAAATTTAATTTTGTTACAAAACATTACAGTGTCAAGTCTGATGTCAGAAAAGAGTCAAAACATCATATTTGGTGACTTCACTGCTAAGTGGAAACTGCAGCGAAAAATAGGCCATCAAGCCATTAGGTGAGTTTATGTAATTTGTATCCTCCATTGTTTGCATCGACGATTGAATTGTTTGGTACAAGACTAGTAGTCTATTGCATCATCCTCGACATAAACCGTCAATAAATGATTAAAGCGAATTATTTTTTATTGTACAGCTAACATGATGGATATAAATTGTTCCGGCATTTACAACATGTCTGTCCTTTTTGTTTTATTTAGAAATTATGCGAGCGGCGAAAAGCTAGAATCTCTTGTACGATGTGAAGCCTTTCCTACTTTCCAGAGAGCTGTCGCCCAAAACAATGGAAGGCCATTCCTTCCGAAACCACTACTTTTCCTGCTTGTGGGTAATATCATAGCTTCCATGTGTTTTGGAAAAAGGCAAGTCGATGCTGTGACTAACATTTATTTACATCACTGTACTGTACTGTTTTTTTTCATTCTGTTTAATTATATTGAACCTCTTATTATATGATCTCTTTACTTTTTTTAAATCGCATTAAATTCCACAGCGATTCAATAGCGACATGCGGCCTAGTGTAACGTAAATAATTCCTGCAAATGTAACACTGACAATGCTGTAGCAACACAGTAGTTGCAAAATATTATCTAAAAGATACTTTGGGAATAGACATGAAATTAAAAGATGTACCGGTAAAAGTACCGGTCACTGGTAGCATAGTGGTTGTCGCTCCAGACTCATGATCGGTAGACCCATGTTCAAATCCTACCTTAGGCTGAACATCAAAGGGTCAACCCCTACCCTGGGTGAGTGTGCCACAGACTCAATGGTAAGGCCTATTCCACTGGCCGAGATTCATTCACTAACGAATGCGACTTTGGGGGAACCTTTGTTAAGGTCCGCAGGTGCTTGTGTTCGACCGAGCCTGGTTGACGCCAGGATAGCGCATTAAAATTGCCATTTGACAGAGAGATGGCCACACAGCCCTGTCATGTAGTCCCAAACATGAATATGACTTCTGTGGCAAAATGCACTATGTGTCATCACTAGCACTTGCAATTTGCACATACAAAAAAAAAAAAAAAGTCAGGAGAGACAACGGTGACATTCAATTTCCAGAACTGTCGCCTGGCACAAAAATATTTAAAAAAAAAAAAAAATTAAAAGATGTTGTACTCTAGAGTTGTTGTTAGAGGTATTTGTACTTCATCGTCGTAACGTCTGTTATAACAGATACGAGTATGAGGACCGTGAACTTCTGAAGTTTATGCGTGTCTTGAATGACCTGAGTGAATCATTAGGTAATGGAATAACAGCTGACTTTGTTCCAATGTTCCGTTATATACCTACTCCTGGACACATTGAAGTGAAAAAACGTGTGAATGAATTGCAAAAAATAATCCAATGTAAGATTGATGAACATAAAGACAGGCTTGAAAAAGGTAAAGTATCATTTGATTATGTGGGCTATTTCTGGTTTCATTATTTCATTTTTTTTGTGTGTTACTGACAATTCACATGATTCAACCCGATGTATTTTGAAAAATATTCATTCTATTACACTTTGATCAGTTCGTTCATTTTATATTATTTCGAAACACTGCCAAAAGACCTTCTATTTAACATTTACATGGTGAAAACACTGTATTTTCTTTCGTAAAAACAAAACAATTTCACAATGTCGAAAATTGAAGGTCTTTATCATAGTCTTTTCTCTTTCTTCCTATCCAAATTGTGTGCTTGTTAATATTCCCCGCGTGTATGTGCATCAACCACTAGGAAACATTTGCATTTTAATAGAAATCTGGTTACATATTCACATGATTGAACCCGATGTATGTAAAGCTATTGTGAAATATATTACTACATTGTCAGTGTTGTCAGTTTCTTCTATTTGATCTTTACATTGGTTAATTCAGCAGCTAGGCTTATTCGATAGAGTCCTCTATTCAACTTTAATAAATATAATTTTACGTGGTAAAATTACTGCATTATTTTTTTCCATTAAAAAAAAGATTTCACAATGTCGAAAATTGAAATGCTTTTATAGATTTATCGTCTTTAGTCCTATGATACTTCCGCGTATGTGCATCGACCACTAAAACAATTTGCATTAAATTTGAATATTTTTTTCAATATATTCAGGTAACAAAGATGTTGAAAGTCTCATCGATGACATCTTATCAATTCAGCGTGAAGCCGAGTCGGCTGGAGGAGATCGTACCATACAACTTACAGACGTCAATATACGTCAAACTGTGTCTGATATATTCGCAGGTACGTTTAGCATCACTATTCACGCACACAATTCGGTTATTTAAAATGCAAACAATTATAACTACTTGAGCCAAAATGATTCTGAGAATATGACGTAAAACAAAACTAATATCTATGAATACAAATATGATTCATTACGATGTATTAGATGCACATAAAGACGTTGTGAAACAGTACTACTTGTAATAAGATGAGTTATAATAGTTATTGATATCACAATACTTAGTAACTATATAGTCGTCTACGGCAGAGTATTGACTTCCGTAACGCGCTTATTGTGTGAACTGCGTTCTACCGCGATGTAGCTTACTTTTCTCTCTCTATTTTTTTTGTATTTTTCTTGGATACTATACTGTTGCACGCGCGAAACAGATATTTTTGGCCATATAAATGTTAAGTGAGCTTTCAGTTAAGATATTAAAGCTATAAATACAATATTGAACGGGTTGAAACATGCGTATCACTCGTTATGCAAAACCAATCAATATATTCCCGATTAAAGTACGATTGCTAATTCCAAGCTATCAATTAACATTTTGTTTATTATTTCATATTATTTTCATCTTTTTCACCATCGTTATGTTATTTTTGTATAATCATCATGTCTTGTTTGTTTTATTACACCACTATAGTGCATTTTTTTCATCATTATTTTGCCTGCTATATATATTTTCAGTGTCAATATATTATGTTAATTTTATTTCTAAATTATTTTGATTGTATTTTCATACTACATATCACTGTAATATAAAAATTACCTGGACTAACAATGGTGAATTAATGTAAACCTGGCATATTAATGATGTCATACACAATGAGGTAAAAAGGTTATACACATTATCATGCACGTTGTAGTACAACGGTGATTAGCATGGTCTTGTATCATTTCCTAGCGGGATTAGATACCACAATCAACACATTAAATTGGTTCGTTGCTTACCTAACGTATTACCCTGACGTGCAGTCCAAGGTACAGAGAGAAATTGATGACGTCATCGGTGATGGTCGTCTGCCACTGTTATCTGATAAGGGCAAACTACCCTATTGTAAGGCCGTTATACACGAGGTCATGCGAATAAGAACAGTTGTACCGCTTGCCATACCTCATACTACTACAGTGGATACGTCTGTAGGTATGTTTTGCATTATGTGTAAATTTGTACTTTTCTATAACAGGGCTTTCGTTTTTACAATAAATTGCACTAGACCAGCTGAGTGTGCATTGCCATGACAATGCTTATTTCACAAAATGAGTTTAGAATATATGTTTTTTCAATAGAACTGAAATTTTCAAGGTGACATCCAATTTACATTCATAGACATTTGTTAGTGCAGTTATTTTAAGGTCACGAGCAAACTAGTGTGTTTAGCAATCACAAATTCCCACACACAAATGACCGACACTGCGCATCGAGTTATTGTATTATTTGGGAGCATCTATTTTGATACAGTGATGAAAGGTGTGAGAAAGGGTTATTATAAAACACATATTATATAATATTAGGTTAGTACGATAAGTATGCACGAAGACAGTACAGTTGGAGTATTGACCGACGCGAAGCGGAGGCCTATGCGTGGTGTACTGTCTGAGTGCATACTTTGAGGTATCCTTGTTACCTTATTATTATACATCTTTTCCTTACAAGGATACACCATTGCAATACCGAAATTCAAAATGTTTAGAACAGAATCAGCGAACATTTTTGTGTGGAGTCATGTTTGTTTTTATTATTAGAGGACGCTTACGTGTGTAATCATTCCATATTTGGAATTCGCATTTCCTAATATGGTTGGATGAAAATATCCCGTAAAATACCCCAAAATTACACACGCTGTAACTTATGGCGTTACGGTGACAGATGTATGATAATAGTGTTTACATTATGGCATGCTGAGGCTAGAACTAAAGAATGATTGATCGGAACCTGCAAATAGTTATGTTGCAGCTCTTTGTATGGTATTCGTTCGATAATAAATTTAAAGACTCAAATGCCTATGTGTCGTTAACATACCAAAGTACAAAGTACCAAAACAATCAGAGCACATGTGTAGTACTGAATACTGTTGTTTCATTGAACAATGTAATTACTTGTTTGCTGTAAGAATGGTGTTTTGGGTTTATAGAAAATCATAAACTAATTTATCTGTAAAAGCGAAGTATTTACGACCATGTTGCATCTTTAATTGAAACCCACACCCCAGCACCCACTGTTTCACAGCATACGATGTACATACCAATGTGAGACCTTCAGTAGTTTCCCCTTGTAGTTCTATACTGAACATTCATAAACACATACTTGACCTTGACTCTGTATATTAGACATAAAACCGTGTCTTGTGAGTTACAAGTAACAAATGTGTGCCAAGTTTGAAAGCGTTATTCTTTTTTCTCCTTTTCATTTTTTTACAGAGCAAAAATGATCACATATTGAGACCTTGACTTTCAGCACCATGTCATACATATGCAAATGCTTGTGTTTCATAATCGAAATCAAGATAGCCAAATAACGGTCATTTTAGTTCTACATAACGTCAAAGTCAAGCATTTCTGCAATTTCGAAATTGGATCTCTGTCATGCAAGAACATATTTCGTTCAAATGTGTTCAAATTATGCTGAAGTCATGTTATCTAATACAGGTGGGTATGTAATACCGAAGAATACATGGATATGGTGTAACCTGTGGAATGTCCATATGGATGAGAAACATTGGGAAGAACCAGAAACGTTTCGGCCAGGTAAATTATATATATCAAATCACCCTGACAGTTTACAGTGTTCTATTATAAGGTAGGATACCCCTTTCTACTGCGATATTTGCAATATACCTTTGCCAATAACATTATATGAGAGACAAACCATGTATTGTGACTTACAACAAGAAATCATTTGTATTCAACACAAAATATCACAATTGAAAATAATCTTGGAAAAAACCCGAGCTGATGATTCGGCACAATTCTTGAACGCATTCATAATGAGCATTAATTATTTTACATTCAATTCAACTGGATTATTCAAATTCGAGCATAAGTTGTTTTTATTGGTAAACCCTCAAGTAAAAAAATGAAAGATAGGATATTATTTTTGTTTTCTTCCGAAGCTCTGGTGCGAAACTGTTGTGCTTTCCAGATTTTACCATTCTATGGAAATCTATTTCAATTTTGTTAGTTTTGGTTGCATTTCAGGAAAACAAACGTTACCAATTATTCATTCTCGCTATGATGTGAATCTGCTGTTATTGCCTAAATATGGAACACACAAATGATTAAATATTCACTATTGTTCATTGTAATAAATTCGAGTCATGTATAATTCTATGTGATATGAACATTTCTCCCATTAAATTATCTCATTATCATATTAAAAAAGAAAGTTTTTATTTAGCAAGAAATGGGTAAAATACTCCAATCCTACTTGTATTATCGATTATCGGAATTTTAGTTAATTACTCAGATACGCTGAACATCAATACAGTGTGTATCAAACATTAGTGCATCCTATTTGTGTGTTTTATTTTCAGAACGATTCTTAGATTCCGATGGAAAGATGCTACCTAACCTAGATGGTTACATGCCCTTTTCAGCTGGACGCCGAGTATGTGTGGGAGAAGCATTGGCCAAGAATCAACTGTTTCTCCTTTTTATAAGTATATTTCAACAGTACACGTTCAAGGTGCCAGCTGGCGGCAAGAAGCCGTGTTTAGAGCCACATTGTGCCGCTCAGGTCATAAAATGTTGTCCATATAAAGTCATTGCCATTGGTAGAAGCAAATAAACGTTTTAATTATCATACATTTTTTTTAAAAATCAGTACATATACTGTCTACTTGAGTCACTATATTTTACATGCTACTAACTTTGAGTATATTTATGAATATGAGAAAACGTTTGAAATATCACAAATTTGTATATATTTTATCAGAAAAAACATTACAGGGGAGACCAGGAGAGTGCCCCTCTAACTGCATGTTTGAACCCGGTAACATGAGGGCGTTCAGAGTGTAAATTACCAACAAGCATACATACAAATGTTCCAAATACATGCGTGAAAGTGATCCGCCACCTCAGCCGTGTGAGTTATTTTTTAGCCAGATGTGAAGTAAGACAAACTTGACGCTAGCACAATCACACAATACAGAAGACCCCGGTGAGACTATAAGGGTGACTCTACAATCCAGGTATGTATATTATTTGGAAAAAGTGTTTGCCAAACCCCATACTTTTCTGAAAGTAGATCGAACACAGGATCAATTCTATGTCAAAGTTTGTGTCCATAAAAGCAACTATATGTCGCCAGTGACTAAGTAACCATCGCTTTATCACAAGACTTGTTTTAAAAATCCCTGAAGAACGATGACTGGGCGTCACGATTTCAGTATAACTCTGAGTGCATAATTTTTCTGATGTAGTGAAAGAATGTTACACAGCTTAGGACTTCACTAATATAATATAGGCTATCTTGCATTTTAAAATGTTTTTTTTTTAAACAGAAATACTTCAACTATTTAGCTCATTTCGACCTTTTCATTGGGAAGACTGACTTCGTTTTTATGTTATCTTGTTTAATCTGAAAAGGGTGATTTTCGTGTAATTTCTGTGATGAATATGAATATTTTCAATCATCTTCCTTAATATTCATAAATATAACTCAGTTAATATGTGAAATCCTGTGACATGAACTCTTGCAAATTTAACTTAGTTTTTTTTTCTTTACTTTCTGACGTACTATCAATCAAATCATGTTTTTTAATGTTAAAATTTAAAATGTTAAAAAGTCATCGATGTACCACGAATTTTCTCATACAGTCAGATTCGGGGCCATGACCTTTCTTGTAATTTGTTATGAGCGGTTACAAACGTGTCGTAGTATTCATGTTTTTTAATGTCATGAGAAATATTCAATTGTCTGTCCAGAATAATAAAAATGTAATCAGAAATTGGGAAATTTGTTTATTTTTGTCATATTACCGCTTATATTTCGTTTGAAGCCTTTGTCGTACGTCATATACCAAATGCAACTTTTTCAGTATTCATTGAAGATATCTGGACCAAAGGTAATGATACGATATAAATAGTTTAGTGCCAAATAACCAGAAGTGGCTTATTTAACTTGTGTTAGATCGTCTTGTGAGGAAAGATGCACAGAATTTATAAGTTAGAGGTGACATCTCCGTTCCAAAAATTAATGTTGTAAAGCTGGGTTGATGGCAGATATTTAGGTGTGTGTATTAAGTCTAGCAAATAATGTATTTTGTTTAATTTAGGTCAAAAATACAAAAACATCTTGTTATATAGTGAATGGAAACTATTTTATGGAAATTCTGAAACAAGATCACAGATGTAAAATATTTCTTTGTGTAATTTGGTGGTTTTTTCCATGAAATATAAAACAGGCAACATTTTATACGTCAAAATAAATAATGTCATGCACGATTGTATTCAAATTTGCAATTGCCACACTTGTCCACTCGTTTAATGACCATATTGTGTTTTATCTGAATATAATTAATATATATATATTTGACGCTTAGAGGAAGAAGTAGAATTGTTGCGTGCGTCAAAATAATATATCGTTTCATATATCTATATATGTTACATACATACACTCACGTTATGTTTTGTGTACAGTGTATGCATATTTTGCAAACCGCATTTATAAGAAATATATTCCGCTCTTACGTAGATGGCTTGACCTCTTATAAAAGGGCATGAGTTTAGTGCCGACCGCCTAAAAAACAAATAGTGTTTGACTTTGATTTGTGTTTGATTTTAAAATGGAAATTTAGTGATTTGTTGAAAGTTGAATTCATTTTTCCTATGCATATGTACATCCAACCCTACTTAAAAATATGATAATATAGAGTTGTTTTTGATCATGTATTTTTTCTTCAGTACGCCCCTTTCACTACAATAAGCTCGTATATGCAGGCCTCACTATGGTATTAAATATAAAGTTGATACTTATGAATATATATTTACTATACAAATATGGCAGCGCTTTGTAAATAACAATTCAAACGCACTGAACTGCAATAAACTATGTCGGTCACACAAGGTAACTGGTCAGAGTGCAATTCAATGTCTAGTTGTACAGCTTGTGTAAAACGGTTCTCTGTTTAATTTTAGCATCATTAATCTTTTCTAGGGTAAGTAATATACGCACTGGTCTCTGTGGATGACTTGATCTCATGTGGGAATAGGCTAAGATATTTTGTGTTGTGGCGCATTGTTAATAAGTGTCACCTTGACTAGTAATGGCAGTATTATAGAGGTGTTCGCCTAAATAGAGCTGGCCATACATGCAGATTTAGTGACCCGAACTGAATAGAGACATTTCAATTAAAACTTGGTAAGCATGCTCCAACACAAAAAGATTTACAATGATTGCATTTACAACAGATAGTCTGGTTCCATGTGAACTCCCGGTGACGCTCAGAATTCTATCACATTAGGATTTGCTTTTGATTTATTAGTTTTTGAAATGAGTTATTATTTTCAATATGTGTGTACGCATTTAGGAGCGTTTTTCTAAGGCCAAATTTGAACGTGGGTCCGCATGCCTTAATTCGACAGCCCCCTGCTCCCCCGGTGTGGATCAGAGGAGCTCTCTGTTAAACGAGGCGAAGCACGGAAGTCGATACTGCGCTATAATGCTCGCTGAAACTGCCTGTCTACCACTGTTACAGTGAATATTTGTAGTAATATACTAAATAACGATTGTTACATTCAATTGTAAATAGCAACCTCCAAAGGCGTTCTCATCTGAATGCATGTATACACACCAATCTATTCGTTGGACGAGTTCAAGAGTTGCTAGTGATAAACTTGTAGTGTGTTTTATCATTAAAACCTCTTTACCACAATGATTTTTCGAAACCGTCATTTAAAAGCAGGTTAAACTCGACGAAAAACACGAAGCACCGCACGATACACTGACATAATCCGGACCTCAGCCATGCATCAAACGTCCAGTTCGCATCAGAAAAGTGAGTGTACACGGCCTGCTTGTTTGTATGCTGATCACCATAACTCTCTTTCAACAAATACAATATACATAATATGTAGGTTCACTGTCACACAAAACACATAAAAAAATAAAACACAGCGGTGCTTTACAGCGGCAGGATTTATGACATTTAAACGGCGGACTGTTAGAAACTCTGGATGGGGAGATGGCAGAAAATCTGTACACAATGTCTTTATTTAGTTCTGTTGTCTGCATCTGTTTATCAAATATATCGCCTCCCCTGGAATTCTCAATTGCCAACCCCTTAGAGGGGCGAATTGCCCATTGTAAATCAAATTTCCCTAAAGCGCAACCATAGTATGGTGCATAGGCGAACTCGTGGCGACCTTGACTAAAGAGTTGTTTTCATTGTTTTCTCTCAAATAGTCTAGCCTAATAGTAACAGTAAGCATTGTAAACTAGTCATCCCATAAACATTGTCGATTACCATTCCCATTACCAAGTGATATATATGTAAATATTAGGGTTAAAATATTTTCGTAGAGTGTTTTCCGACAGAGTAATACAGTAAACCGAATATTCTCAACAGTGGAACGTTTGACCGTGGTTTCGTTTATTTTCCAGATGCAGCAATCTTATACCAACTAGTTTACATAATGGTTTAGCCTGTGAGCAAAAAATGGATGGGAACCATTGATGTGTGCATAATACTAGTGTTTGATATAAAGAATAGAGAGACCATATTCCTCGATATATTGACTGGAAAGTTAGTGCTCAATATACTGACTTGAGAGGAAATCATAAATAAGGAAAAGATAGACCTTATGATAATGACAGTGGAGACAGTAATAACTATAGTTACTAGATATAGTTTCTAAATATAGTGAAAAGTGAGGGAGTCGTCAATAGAACGACTAGAGAGGTAGTTCTAGATACCGTGAATGATAGCTATGTTGCAACGTGCATCAAAGTTAAACATAGCGTTACCTTCAACATTTTTTTTCAATGAAGATCGACAGACTGAAACTATTTTCATTTGTATAGAATTGTTATAAATGTTACATTCATCCTCTATTATAATACATTATAATCTAATATAAATTATTATACACTATAATATTTATTTTTGTTTTCATATTTAAATCAGCAACATGCTTACTTATATCCTGCATAATATCTTTGATATTCTTAACACTCCAACTAATGTTATTTATTCTACTGCAAATGGTAACCAATAGGCTCTTCTTAAATAAATTAGTCGACAGTGTTGATTGAAGTTTACTGTTTCCTGTGAGTGCTCATGTGAGACTCTCGCAAATGTTATATCGTTTTCCGTTTTTCTACGTCTAAGCACATAAAAACATAAACGATCAGATCGACATCTGCCTAATAAAACACATTTACAATAATAAATGAAATAAACTCTCAGATTGTAAAGTCAATTATAAAAATCGACATGTCTTGGCCGGAGGTTTCGTTAATATTTGCAGACAAAACTATAAATATGATGACCATGAACTTCTGAAGATCATGAGAGTCCTGGACGATGTAAATGAATCTTTTGGGAATGGACTACTAGCTGACTTTGTCCCATTGTTCCGTTATATACCTACCCCAGATCACACCAAATTGAAGAAATATCTGACGGAATGGTTAAACATAATTCAACATCAGATTAATGAACATAAAGACAAGCTTGTAAAAGATAACACAATAAATCCTAATTATCTTTTTGGAAGTTATTTCTGGTATAATGAATTGCGTTGGTAGTCCGATGTTGGTAACTCACATGAATAAAGTCGGGGTGTGTATGTAACGTTGGTGTGAGAGTGTGGTGTGCTAACATTGTATGTTTTTATTACATTATATTTTCCCTTCACATTGGTTAACTTTAACAAATCTGTACCAGGCTTTACCGCCGTGTCCATCGTCATCCCTATCAAACGTAGATATCCTGTTTTGCAAGATCCTCTGCTAGTTGATGAGCTTACTATAGCCTTATGTGCATTTGCTCTTGATATAATATTATAATAAAAGTATTGTCTACAAGCAATATGTATTTTAATTTGCATATTGTTACACTATACTCAGGTAATAAAGAAGTGAAAAGTCTCATTGGTGACATCTTATCATTTCAGCGTGAAGCAGAGTTGGTGGGTGAAGACCAGGCCAAGCAACTTACTGACGTCAATCTACGTCAGACTGTGTCTGATATATTTTCAGGTATGTTTAATAGAAATGTCGACACTCGGCTAGGGTTACTACGTAAAACAGAACTAATATTTATAGATGAAGATTTGACTATTTACAATGTGCCAGGCGTACATACAACAGGTACATAACAACAGAACTCATAGTAAAATGAGTATCGTGACAAGTATAGAAACACGGCACTTGTAATTATAAAGTCGTCTCAGTCGGATTCCTGACAAATATGTTCGCAGTGGCGCGATTCTGGACAGATGTCATGAAATGAAATATTGTATTGTAGATATAAAATACACATAACTGGTACGATTGACAATTGAACGCAGTTTAAGTCATTTTCTATTTGTTGTATTTAAATAATGTAATTTAATAATAATAACTTTATCACACTACTATGTCATCAGAGGGCGCAGTACGGTAAATAAAATACAAATCATAAAAAATACAGTAGCTAAACTATAAGATAAAATTAAAATTAAAAGATGTTAAAAGTTTAATAGGAAAAAAACTTAAAGATAGTTACAGGATTCTCCCAATGTGGAGGTGATAGCTATCATATACCTGATTTCTGTTTTGCCTTATTTAGAAACTTTGCCAGCGGTATGAAACACTTCATTATTGTAATGAAACTGTCTGTTTTATTTAGTTTATTTTTAATTCCTATTTCTTGAAACAGCCCCCCTCTTTCTTTATCGAGAAATTCACAATATAGGATAAAATGTTGTTCGTCCTCAACTGAATTTGTACATTTTTTTACAAAATCGTTCTTCCGCAGGAATTTTTGGTCGTTGTTGTCTGCCTCTTTCAATTTCTAAATTATGATCACTAAGCCTATATTTACTCACAATTCTCACTCTATACTCACAAAGTTTGTTATTTCGGTTAGGTAAGTTTTTATTTTCAAAAACGATTTAAACATGTTATATGTTCTCATTTTATTGCCATCTGTACCATTTTTACTGTGAGGGGAATTTAAGCTTTCCTTCCATAATTTTTCATAATCTTTTGTGAGTTTTATTTCAACAACATTTGAGATTTGATCAATGTTATTCACTTTATGTTTTGATTTTATTGTTTCAAAGTCACTGTGGCCCATTATATGTTTTATCCAGCTAGAATTATTCTCAACTGCTTCATCGAGAGCACATTTAAGTATGTGGTTATCAGGTATTTAGCCTGAACCAATACTTAGTTGCCAATGTTGATGCCTTTATTCTTATTGGCGTTCTGCCAAGTTCTCCTTTAATACCGATTACTGATGTAGTTTTACTTACACCAAGTATGAAACGTAAAATTGATTACAGGTTTGTTCAAGGTCATCTTTTACTAAATCATGCCCAAATTTCTGACCCGAACATTAAAATTGGTGAAATTAGTTGGTCAAATAACTTTAAATACAGTGAAGGGGATACCATTTTGTGATTTAATATGGTTTGTCAACAGTGCGCGCGCATGCTTCACTTGACATGGCAACTGCAACCGTCCACATATTCAAAATGAGGTACACATGCTTGCTGATTGGATAATGTTGAACTATTAATATTAACTGAAACTAATAGTATTTCCGGATTGTTCAACTGAGTGAGATTATTGCTACGGGTAGTATTGAATCGTATCAAGGTGAAATCGAGGTGAAATTGAAGACTGAGAACAAAGATGTGACGACTTATAAAATGCCGGCGATCTGGATCACAATCTGGTGTGTTCAACACTGACACTCCATGGAGATAACAGTGGAAAACGTGTTTTGATATCATGATTCATTTTGGTAGACGGAGTCGCGATGGTTTGCATCAACTAACGAAGTCATCTCTAACAATATTACCCGACGAACCAAAATCGAACCTTATCGAAAAAGGAAATCATGAGAAATCTGGATGTTATTTTCTCTGTTGTATTTCTAACAGACAGATGCATTTTTAATTTAGCGACAGGAGAATCAAGATTTACAAATATATCTGTCATTCAGACATTCTCCAAACATTACTAAAGATGCTACTATAACAACCTATACATCATCTGAAAGCTTAGGTATACATTAGTTTCATATCGTATTGTACGTTTGTCTAAAGAATTAATTTACGGCCAATTTCGTAGGTAATAACAAGAAAAGTGTCTTACGCTTTACAATGTTTCAGACTCTATATTCATTCTGTATTGTTGATTCCTTGTGAGAAATAATTAATGACAATGTACAATGGTTATCTGTGCTTTAAGACACAGTCTGTCAAAACAATTTAACCCTTCAATTATATCCGGAATATACATAAACACATGTTATAACCTTCGATCGTTTGTCTCTAAAATGAATTCATGTCTTACGTGAAACATATGTACATGTTTTCTCTATGTCTACAATAGAAAATGATTTACTCCAAACAAGTAGACAACAAATACATAATTAATATACACTCATCTCTGTATGGAAGAAACATTAAATGCACACTAGACCTGGTTCCGATATAGTTATAAAACGGGGATGTACAGTTTCACTTTTGTGCATGTGTCTAACAGCGACTGTTATCTATCCAATTACACAATTCATTGCAGGTGGGTACAGACTGCCGAATGATACATGGATTTGGTGTAATTTGTGGAATATCCATATGGATGAGAAACATTAGGAAAAACCAGAAAAGTTTGGTCAAGGTAAAGTATATGTCAAAATCACCTGGATTTAAACAATGTTTACATTGTTTACTTATACAACAAGATGCCCGTATTCCCTGCTATTTATAAAATATCTTAGACGTAAATAGCCACAAAGTAATAGCGAGAGAGCCACATAGCTTGATTGTAACCTTCAAATATTGGTTTATTTTCTTCCCTCCGTGGACTTGAAACAGTGGACGCAATGAAAATGAAACAATAATAAAAACAGAAACAAGTCTCGCTGTCAACGAGACCACAGCGGTCAATTGCCTATACTTCTTGGACACATTCAACAGGAGAATTTAAAATTTAAAACTTTCAAAAATGCCGTCAGTATGGATTATTCAAATTCGAGCATGAGCTGAGTGTTTGACAGTAATTCATTACCACATGTAAATTAGGTGTTATTGCTTTAATGTGACCACACATATGATCGTGGTGGCAATCATAATATTCTAACCATAATGCCGAGTCTGTATGGGAGAAGCGTTGGCTAAGAATGAGTTGTTTCTTCTTTTTACGAGTGCGTTTCAACACTACACATTTAAGGTACCAACTGACGGCAAGAAACCGTGCTAACAACCGCACTGCATAGGACGGACGGTAAAATGTTGTTCCTATGAAGTCATTGCGATTGCGAGAACGAATTACTCTTATAGTATGAATTGTCCAATCTATCAACAAATACAGAAATCTGTTCTGCAATAGATGTGACCACTCACAATATTTCACATACTATCTACGAATACAAACTGTGCGTCAGCAGGATGGGAAAGCGTATAAAAAAAAAACATGCCCTTGTAGATCATTTCTTGGGAGCGGTGTATTTGCATGGAAAGTCGACTTCACCAAGTTTGCTGACCACACAAAAAATCAGTGTCATACAGTTTTATACTAAAAAGGTGAACGCTAGCCTTTTTAATAGTATTTTGTCCTACACATCCCAAACAATATTTTGACTATTCAGACTTTTCATTCATTCAAGAGTGACTCTTCCAATATGTGATTTGTACGTAATCTTGTTTATCATGATTAAATACAGTATTTTCCCCTAATATTTCGTAATATTCATAGATAGTTGGTAGTATGTGATTTCCTGCGACATAAGTTTATATAAATTTGATAAATCTAAGAAATTTAATGATACGAACGTTTCTATGCGGTCGCATTGGGAGATACAGATACGGGAGAGTCGCCACTGCACCTTCTCGTATTGTCTTAAGATCGGTTGTATCAAAATTTGAAAACCCAAATACAGTAATAATGGGAAATTGGCGATTTAAAAATCGTAAAATAGCAGTATGTTAAATTATCAACATTTTAAACTTATATATGTAAAACATAAATTCAGAACTATCCAGAACTCCCTATACGGGTCTGGGAATAAACATTTGTAGCTGTTTGAAACATCGTCGCAAAATGTACGTAACTTTGGAACTGGTTGTATGTAAATAATGATACAAAAGAACAAAAACGCAAAACAAATATAACTGAACCATTTGCTGAAAAATTTGTATTCACTTATCATGTCTCTTAGTATGTTCGTTTTGGTATTTTCTCATCAGAATGTTCACAAATCAAACATCAAACATATTGTGACAGCGTGTACAACCAGTTCTCACTACACAGTTGATTCCCAAGTCGTGTCAAACTGTGTTATTTTATCTAATGTGGCAGTTCTTTCTTTACTGAATACATAAGACATGAAAGTAATACTCATGCTCATTCAGGAATTTAATGCTTTATTAATGTTTATCTGTTGAACAAATGTAACGTACATTTCATATCTAAAGGTCAATAAAATAATTTTAATTTTAATGAAAGTAAATAACGCACTGCTAATATGCATGTCGACCATGCTCACATGAATTAACATAAAACATATTTAACAGATTATTTTTATTCTTAATATATGCTTTATTGAGGCAATGTAAACTACGGCAATGGCTAATGATTCTCGCATCATTTGTTGTCAAGGTATAAAGAGTAGTGGGCATAATATAGACGCTTAGGTTCCGTGAGATCCTCAGTTCACAAGTTTCTGGACAGTGATTGGACTGGCTGGATACACCTGACGAATTAGGGTAATATGTTCGTCTTATTTTCTTTGTTTCTACTAAATAAACCATATATTAGCTCAATACCAAAGTGATATATCCATGCACAGAAAATATTAATTGCGGGTTTCAATGTGCTTCCCAAATTATTGAACAAAGGTAAAGGCTGATTTGCATAATAATGATTTGATGCATATTTAATCTCTTATTGCAAAACTTCCACATACATTTCGTTATTGAGTTGACTGTGCTGTGTTGTGTACTTATTCCTCAGCTCCCGAAAGTGACGTTTTTTTATATATATGCTGGTGATCGTCACTGTGTTTGCTAAAATACTCTGGGGGATTGCATGATGGGAGTGATAAGTATTTTGATCAGTAAAATAATTTTAGAAAAGTGAAAACTAGAGTGACTGTAAAATGAAGGTTGGTTTTAAATATTATGAAATTTAGATGAAATAATGGAAGGAAATCGAACTGGTATGAAAGGGCAGTAAATGTAGCCAGAATGCAAGGTCAGAATCCGGGGTCAAATACGTATCAATACATCCATCATGGCGGCTGCAAAGTGTCATTGACTTTGGATGCGGTATTGGCTTTGATTTGCAGTTTTCGTGAATGGCCTGGGGATACATGCAAATTCAGTTACAGTATTTGCTGTTTTTTTGCGCAATAGAAATTTATACAAGAAATGGTGTCAAAAGACACCTCCTTCTAGTAAACAAAACAGCATTGGGAGGTATTTTGAGAAGACGAAAATCCCTTGGGACAGTAATTTATTGTGACTGGTTAATGACTCATTGATCTTTTCAGTTGATTTGGCTAGTGTTGGTTAGATAGCAGTATGTTTAGAATAAGTTCATCCGCTTAATATTTGTAATTAGATTTGTATTGTTAGCAACAATTTGTTTAACCAGCCTTAAATTTTGATTGAGTTATGGTTCTCGTAGCTATGCTGATCGAAACCTGAAATTTTAATTGCCTCAATTCTTGCATGCATGCTTGTTTTACTTTAATGATGATATTTACTTCGATTGAGTGGCAAAATAAGTAACAATTTATCCAAGAAATACATGTGATGAACTTAATCATAATGTACGAAACTACTCATATGATGCTGGACATAGTAAATAGAAAAACGGCAATACAGCAAAGCGATCAAAATTGTCAACTCTGGAATAGTTATAATTCTTTTATTCTAAACAGAAAGATCATAGCACGTTTTTGTTGTCAAACTTAATAATAAGATTCCATATACAGGTAATTAAAACTGCGGAATTGTTTTGAATACTGAGATACGTGTCAATAATTCCCCAAATTTTTAGAAAAGGTTATAAATAATTGTGGGAAGGACCAGTGTTCATAACAGTACCCCCAAATCCCTGGTAAGTTGTTGGAGTACGTAAATAAATGCACTAAACGACCGCAAGTGAAATGAACGGTAACATACACACTCGCTAATACTGTTAGGTTGACAGATGCGGTTAAGGGAGTATTAAATTCTTTATGATCAATTATATCATATAATTCTGGATTTGTTTAAGGATTCATTACATTCGCAATGTTAGTAGGTGATTTCTTGGTGCTAAAGTTCAGTGTATTTTTCTGAAATCGTTGACACATTGGTTGTTTCATTTCATTCTCTCAACGGAAATAACCTCGTATGGACAGACACTTACAATCGGACCAAGTCCAACGCAATGCGACTTCAAACACGGCTTCTCGCCGTCGGCTGGTACCTTAAATGTGTAGTGTTGGAACACACTCACGAATAGCAGAAACAGCTCATTCTTAGCCAATGCTTCTCCCATACACACTCTGCGTCCAGCTGAAAAGGGCATAAAACTGTCTGAATGAGGCAATAATTCTCCATCTGCATCTAAGAATCGTTCTGAAAATAAATTACATATAGAATATTCATATGCATCTTTCGAAAGTATATAATCATCAAATCATCTACAGCACTATTTATCAACAAAGATATAGTTACATGACCAAAAGAGACTCAACTTACCCTCGAATTCGAATAATCAAGATTGATGGCAGAGTTAAAAACTACATTTTAAGTTCTCACGAAATATATGCAAATGGTGCCGAAATCTCGTTCAGAGCGAGAATAACAAGACTTGTTTTTGATCTCGCAAGTAGTGTCATCGTTATTACGTCAACTGTTCCAAGTAATATGGACGACAGACAATGAAACAATATTTGAAGGTCAAATTCAAGTCTTGTGTCACTTTAGCTTTTAATAATATCCCACACGCCATTTACATCAGTGGTACATTGCAATTATACAAATGTTAGCAGAAAGAGATATAAGTAAATTGTTTAATTCGAGGTGATTTGATATATACCTGGACGAAACTTTTCTGGTTCTTCCCAATGTTTCTCATTCATATGGACATTCCACACGTTACACCAAATCCATGTGTCCTTCGGTATTGCGTACCCACCTATATTATATTAAAAATGACACAGTCCCCGTGAGTAGTTTTTTTGTGTTATCTATTATAAGCTGCACACAATACATTCTAAAGAGTAAGGTAGATTATGAAACGAAACAATTTCATGCAATTGCTGATGAAATGTTCAATTCAATTGGTGATTAGTATGACGGTAAATTAAATCAGTAATATATTGCCAGTGGTATGATGAGTGATATAATGTATTCGTGTATGTAATAACCATTATGACTAACAGTCATTTGACATGATACAAATTGGAGCCAATTTACGTGTGTAATTACTTTCATTGCTCGGTACATAACATTTAATATGTATTTTTAGGATTAGAACGGCTAACATCGCTCGATCTTGAATCTAGTACAAATGTTTGACATGTGACATTCGCTGTTGTGAATCCGATTTGAAAAACTAAATACTAAATGCTTGATTTGAATTGTTTGCAGTAAAATGGCCGCCATTTGACCATTGTAAACATGAAAAAATAGCTTGTGAATGTAATCGACCCAGGCATGTCTAAGATACAGGTGCGGATGAATGCGTGCACGAATCCGATCAAATGTTCACACAATATATGTTTCTATGTGTGTACGGTATCCATGTGACACATAAGACCGAGTTAGATTTCATAGTTCATATATCAGTGTTACCAAACACATTTACGGTCGTAACTACGCAATCATAAAGGCAAAATTATAGCTCTTTGAGTTGATATAGATATCGACGAAAAGTGGCCCAGGTTGGCATCTCCTTTGAGTTCTGTTATATTACCGCATGGAATCGGCGGTACATGTATGTATTCAGCAATTCAAAGTTTCTCTTATGTTATAAGCAGTTATTCTACGCATTCAGTGTATTCTCATATTATGAAGTTTGTTGCATTGACTTATACATGACTTATGCTGGGGTGTGGGATTAACGTTGCGTTTAAGGGCGAAAACGTAGTTTAAAGGGCGGTAGTCGTCGCACCACGCATGCACGAGATATGGGTTTCATATATACAAAGATGGCTGCCTTGAATGTTGTGCAGACCAACAAGTACAAATTTAGAGACTACCAAGCTTTAATTAGGTATTATGTTATCAAAGGAGGTATCGAAGGAGTCAACAGCGGTGATTAGCTCAAGTGATGCCCGGGTCAAAACTCGTACTGCTAGAAAAACGCACATTGAATTGTGGGAAAATCAATGTTTATTTAAATGCACTAAAATGCACATGCGCGACGCGACGACCACAGCCCTTCAATGTGTATCTGTGACAATACATTTAAATAAAAACAATATTCCTGTCGTAAAAATCTAATTATTCGTTTAATGAAACACATGCGACTTGATTGTGTTGAAATATACAACAACAATCACTGCACATTCTTGGTTTTCATCATTCCCTATACATTGTGCTTCAAAATCAATATTTTTATTTTTCATTAAATCCAACTCCAGGTCGGTTCTTATGTTCCCGTCTATCAACAATATTATATTTTTTGTTCATATTGCATCTTTAATCACAATGTAATTGGTGCTTCTCTGAATGTAATCTCAATTATTATGTTATTTTACTTAGCATACTTTTACTGTGAGTAATACCATACACCAACTTAGTTTGTGGGCAGTGTGCGAAATAACCTCCTGGCACATAGTTCATCACAGAATAGAAACATACACCCTTCGCCATCACGAAGCAATCATATACATGTATTGCGGAACAATGGAGTGATATGCGATTCCTCACTACCTCACAATATCAACTCTCTGTTAAAATGTGTGAATATATCACTTGGTGTCAACGTGGAACCTTCAGCGCTTTTGAGAAACTAATATTTTACACTTAATTTGTAAGCTAAGTATTATCCGAAATATACATACTAAGCATGGCTTGTTCCCTGAAACATGAATTGTAAAACCTAATTTATATTTGCACATAATGCAAAACAATACGTACCTACAGACGTATCCACAGTAGTAGTATGAGGTAAGGCAAAGGGAACAATTGTTCTTATTCGCATGACCTCATGTATAACGGCTTCACAGTACGGTAGTTTTCCTTTATCAGATAACAGCGGCAGACGACCATCACCAATGACGTCATCGATTTCTCTTTGTACCTTGGACTGCACGTCAGGGTAATACGTTAGGTAAGCAACAGCCCAATCTAAGGTGTTGATCGTGGTTTCTAGTCCCCCTAGAAAAAATACATATTGATCACTGTATTAATAAACTGAATTGTTACGTATGTTTCATGACGTTACGAAACCAAAACTGTTTAATACACCATATTGTAAAGCTTATATTATCGCTGGCATTGCATGGTGAGTCATTTTGGAGTAAACACATCACTTAAAATTTTACTTAAAATTCATAACAAGTGGGTAAGTTTGAGTGAATGATCGCACATTTTACTTAGTGGCTTATATGTTGGAATATGTTATTCAGGGAAGCTATTGGTTATATTTTTAACAACTGAGTCAGTTCCTAGACACTTATTTAATTTATTTAAAAACACCAACTGAAAATATCTCAAACCGTGTTAAATAATTGTACTTGAACGCCAGTAGGTTCATTTTTTTTAATTTATTCAGCCTTTTTATTAAACAAAAGTATATGTTGCAGTCGCGAACGGCCATGAGAACGTGTAGTGTATGTGGGCATGATACACACTGTAGACTTGTATTCTATTTCACGACATCTGTAGATTTAGAAAATTGCCACGCTGGCCATATTTGTCAGGAATATGACTAAGACAACTATATAATTGCAAACATTGTAATTGTTTCTCATTTCAACTTCTGTATGTCTGTATCATATGTCACATATCATAATGAATCATATCCTTCATCTATACATACTAGTTATATTTTGTCGTAGTAGCCCAGAACTTAATAAAAGTTGTACTAAATGTTGCAATCTTTACATATATCTTAGTTATTAGTGTCGACATTGTTATTAGACGTACCTCCGAATATATCAGACACAGTCTGGCGTAGATTGACGTCTGTAAGTTGCTCGGCCTGGTCTTCTCCAGCCAACTCTGCTGTACGCTGAATTGTTAAGATGTCATCGATGAGACTTTTCACTTCTTTATTAGCTGGGTAACAGTAAGCAAATCGTTTGTTGTGGAATACTTTAGTGATATTATTTCTAGAAATCAGTGTACAACGACTACGGAAGGATTATAAGAACCAAAATTTTAACTTAATGAGCAGATAATTTGGAAAAGAAAAGAAAAGAAAATTATTGAATGAAGTGGCCAAAAAGGAAATGCGGCAATTAATTACCGGTGACATAGATGGTGAGGTAAAGACTGCTGCGATTTCTCAAAGCCAATGTGAATGGGAAATATAATGGAATACAAGTTAGCACACTATACACACCAACGTTACCTACACTGAGTGCTTTCATGTGAGCTACCAACACCGTACTAACCAATTCAATTCATGCAACCAGAAATACCTTCACAAATGATGATCAGCGTTTAAGTTTGTACCTTTTCCAAATTTGTCTTTATGTTCATTAATCTGATGTTGAATTATCTTTAACCATTCTTTCAAATGTTTCTTAACTGCAATGTGACCGGGAGTGGGTATATAACGGAACAGGGGGACATAGTCAGCTACTAGACCATTCCCAATTGATGTATGTATATCTCTCAAGACTCTCATAAACTTTAGAAGTTCGGGGTCATCATATTCATATCTGTCATCAAACAACATACGTTAAGTAGTGGAATTATAACACACCTTTAGAGTACTAGATAATTTGTATTCAAAATTTCGACCTAGGGTCTGATAGATACATGGACACATATTCGACACATAAGATCGTATATAATTGCTATTGTATCACTGTGTTTTTGTGGGTTTACGAAAGTAAAGACAACAAATGATGAGAGGAGCAACATAATCAAACAGAATATTAAACTACTACATCACAATGGTGTGATTATCTGTTAGTCACAGCGTTGACTTACTTTTTTCCAAAACACATAGAAGCAATAATATTTCCCACAAGCAGGTACAGTAATGGTTTCGGAACGAATGGTTTTCCATTGTTTTTAGCAACAGCGCTCTGGAAACTAGGAAAAGCGTCGCATCGTATAAGAGATTCTAGTTTTTCTCCACTGGCATAATTTCTGAATTCAAAAGGGAAATAAGCAATCAGTAATGTTATTTTGAAATATGTGACGCGGACACGCTATAAATATTATCGATTGACGGTAGCTTCGATGGTGGGATTGGTAAAAATATTCTGCTTTGGTCGACTTTTACCATTTGGTGTCGCAGGTTTGTGTTACGCAATTCTATAGAAGAAACTATAGCTCTTCTGTGTCGATAACAATCATAATGTCCTAATAACAAATTTAATGACACAAATGAAATGACTAAAATACCATGGCAAAGACGAAATACCGACCCGGTTATATGGATGCCGAGGCAGTCCATTGGAATTTTTAATTGCCTCAAAAATTAGTGATTATGTTACCAATGCATCCCTAAATCGTAAATATAGCGAAATAGATACAAGAAATAAACAGGATATCATATTCGTGACCATACTATATCAGATTTAATTAAGTCATGTAGCAATTTTCAATATTTTTTGTCCCGTTATGTCAATGGCGGTGCCTATAGTTATTTGTATTTTTTGGCAAATTCACTGTTCTGGTTGGCAGTGTTGTCTTTTGAGGCCAGACCTCGTACTGAACCATGAATACTAAAAATGGAAGTTATCACACACGTTTAATGAATCTGATATCGTAAGGTCGCTCATGAGATATACTTTATTTCTGTCAACCATGTTACATGTTAGTTAGTCAACGAAATATGCTTCACGCATTTATAAACCCGTTCAGACGAGGATAAATCAATACACTACTGGTCTCGTACCCTTAGAGTTAACGATAGATAATCAACATACTGTCAATCACGTGAGCAAGACCTATGCCAATGCAAACATGGAGGATACAAGTTATATAAACTTACCTAATGGCTTGATGACCTATTTTTCGCTGCAACTTCCACTTAGTATTGAAGTTACCAAATAAGATGTCTTGACTCTCTTCTGCCAACAGACTTGACACTGCAATGTTAAGGTATCTCTAAATTTAAGTATGTAAAAACGTTCCATTGTCTTCTGCGTGAAGGGGTTGATTTCGCCGCATAAACGTTCGAGAGGTCACCCGGAAGTGCGGGGAACCAGGGAAACCTGCAAATAAATTGCGCGATCTAGAATTTCCCCCCATAATTCGAAACTGGTTCGAGCCGAAACCATGGCCAAACAACGCATAAACAAATCGGAAATTCATACAACGTATTTTTCCATCATAGCAAAACACGGCACGAGCCAAAATTACACCCTTACTGTTGTTACTTGACTGTTGAGCAGTATTTATGCGTGACGTGAGTTATTACTATACATATTTTCTGTCATTAGAAAGCCACTCATTGAATTGAGACAACTTGATTGACTATAATAATCCACGCGGTGTAGGCTGTCGGCGAAGGTACGAAAATCGAGTGTCGTAGACGTCCCGTACTTTTCGTACGCAACGTTCTCTACCTACGGTACTCAGACAGCGGTTACGATGCTCCGACAGAAACGAGTATTCAGTAGGCGAGACAACCGACGACATTCTACACGATGCATCGCAAAGCCAATCAAAATCTGGTCAATACGCCAACGCACGCAGACTGGGTCTTCCCATTCAGGAGCGCATATTCATTCGCAGTGACGTCATGTGGATCGTTCTGATTGGTCAACAGCAGTCTTGAAATTTATGAATGTTTTATGTTTATAACTCGTCAATTTTGTAAACATTCAGAGAAAAGTAACGTTAGCTGATGTGACTTCCCTTTACAACCTATGCCATACTAATTGATTTCCCTGTCCGTATGGTATCGACAACTTTCAAACTAAAAATGTAGATATAAGGCCCATGTTCCTTTGTCTACATTTAATTATACCACAAGTAATGTAACTCTGGTTATAATTGTTTGCCATCACGGATAACGTGTCGACACTATCGATGCCATGGTTACAACAAAAGGTCATAAGACGCCAAAGTATTGTTCAACTCCAGTAATCGATCCATGGCGTATTTGTGTATTGGAGAATCGTGGATCTTGCGTTCAGGCCACGGTTAGAAGAAGAGATTTTGCGTTCTCCTAATAACCGTGTTCAGACGGACAATTTTGCCTGCGCTGAAGTATAGGTGAGAGTCTCATATGAGCAAACGCACAAAACCACAACGGTGAAAATAATTTGCATATCTGTACTGGTTATTACGGACCATGCAAGTAGAGGGACAGTGGCATGGTTTGTGAATTTGAGCACTGTGAATCTCTTGATCTACGTGCGGATGCTTCTCGTGTGACCAAATCCCACTGATGGAGTCCAATGATTCATTCAAAAAATTAAACATTTAATAATCATTGAAAAGTGATAAGAATCATCTTATTGGTTTCAAAGAACAACGCTTTGTTGATTTAATGCGTTTAGTTAAAGCCATAAAAGCGATTCAGTTTACTGACTTACATGAATAAAAATATGGTCTCCCAGCAAAATCATTCTTTTTCTTCACTAATGCTTCTGTAATAACATCTAGGGAATTGAGTACAATCACAGGCTGACTGCCAATCTTCATTGTAAATACATCTCCATATTTCTTACCATAATTTACTAGAGTTAGGTGGGGATCGTTCACCAAATCTAATAAATGAAACGATTAAACCATGAATATAATGTTGCACGTAACATAATGGTCATACGAAACTACTGACGGGACCACCAACAGTCATCTTCGAGTTGGCTAATATATAAAGACACTGAGCAGAACCCAATAAGCTTATTATGCGATTAACATAGAATCTGAAATACTAGTTATATGTTACACATCCAGCATTGTCCTTTGTTTACATCGGACTCAACGCCAATGTAGTGCGTGACTGAAATAGAAACTGAACGTAATCGACCGCATTGGCACGAACACTTTTCTGGCATATCAGGATTTTATATTTTGTTTCTTGTGGAAATGTAATGTACGATTTATTGGCGTATTAATTTATATTGAGAACATATCATAAGAAAGTGCAGTCTATCTTCTATTTCATCCTCTGTATATTGTCTGCAAATTCTGTTTTCAGTAGGTATTTTTGGTTGCGTATGCCTCCTTTTTTCTATACTAGTTCGAAATTTCAAATTCAACACATCCATTTTTTTGAAATTAAAAGAGTCTTTAATCCTTCATAAGTCCTACGTTTTTTTTTCAGTCAAATTTTCTCCAGAAATGTATGTATTTTTGTTTGACAACTTTGCCAATGTGCTTTATATGTTTTGTTAAAAATCATTCTGTTGTTCTAGTGAAAAAATTATGTTGTTCATATTTTTTTTTGTATTGAGAAAACCATTGTAAATTCAATTTTTTTTGTTCAAGGTATGCTTGTTTTGTAATATTATTGCCTGGTACTTTACTAATACGAGCCCAGAATTTTATTAAAGTGATCTGAATATCTACTAAGAGTGGGAATTCTCCTACTTTAGCTCTGCACGCAATATTTGCTACAAATTTGTTCAATCCTAGTAGTTGTTTGTAAAAATTGTGTGTTTTTTTCTGATATTGTTGTGTCCCATTTGTTGTAATCTTGAATTTCATGATCCCAGATTTTAGACCCATACAATAATATTGGTTGAATACACCTTTGAAAAAGATTGCTCGGGCTGCTTTATCTGCTAAATTTTGTTTGACTTCAGTGGAGCAGTCATTTGGCTTATGTTGATACCTAGTTAGTTGTACATATCTACACAGGTAATATTTTGTTCATTATAATAGTCTTTTTCAGTGTTCCTCATTTGAAAATAACAACTTTTGTTTTGCCAGATTTAGCTGGAGTTTCCATTTATGACAATAAACCTTTCTATTTAGTGCATTTTATAACCGTTTTTTGTGTCAGAGATCGTCTACATAGACAAGGGAACTTATTTTACAGTTATTCAATGTAACTGGGTCTAATTATTCATCTTCTAGTGAATTATGAGTATAAAAATAATTGAATATTAATGTATAATTTTAATTAGATTTTAAAACAATATCGCAAAGTAGGCAAGACGAGCTCGCACGGGATTCGTCGTAAGGCATTCGTGCAACCACTTTCCAACAAGGTGACTACACTATAACACATATACTGATAATATCTTGTCACATTAAATATATTTGTAGCTACATGTGTTTATTTATGCCAAGAAAGCCCAGGCGGTTTACACAACCTAACACTATTTCTAACATTTGGTGTCATTTGCTACAAATAAATCTATAAACTCTAAAATGACATACAGTGTAAAACACCCCAAAATAAGTAAATTTATCTTCTTTCAGTTAAGCTCAATTTGACAGAAGGGGAATGACATCAAGAAGTTAAACAACTACTGTCGACTGGTGGCGCTGTACTTGAAACGATTTCAACAATTTTAACGATTTCGCTACGTATAAGTATCTTCATTACCTTTCAACTCATGACGTCAAATCATGATATTAAAACAATTGTGTTTTGATTACTTGGGATGTACTCACCCATCATAGAGCCAATGAACGGGTATCCCATTGGTCCAGGTGGAAACCCAGATGGTTTGCGTAAACTAAACAATCCATATGTTATGATAAACACCAACAACAGTAACATAACATTAGTTGGAGTGTTAAGAATATCAAAGATATTATGCAGGATATAAGTAAGCATGTTGCTGATTTAAATCTGAAAACAAAAATAAATAATATAGTGTATAGAAACAGCGGATGGATGAGAATTCAGGAGAGAACAATAGTGAACAATTAAACTAATTTCAGCTTTTTAATCTTCATTGGTAGAGAGATGGTCAAGGTAACAGTAGAAGTGTTCACGCTACACGAAATACGGGCTAAGATTTAAGCTAATTTTCACTAGGATTATTCAGTACAATAACTCGGAAGGTATACTTGTTAGTTAATCTGTTATAAAACAATACCAAAGTCAATTCAGATAGTGCAGATTGCAGAATAACAGGAACTATCACGCAGAGTTTTTTTTTCTTTCCAGAACAATGTCTCTATGTATGTTCGCGTTGATTGTCATGTCGGTTATGGCATGCCGAAATGAATAGTTATGAATATGATAGTTAATATTCCAAATAGCATTGAATACAAAGGCGTTTTGAGCACTTAGCCCGAGCTAAGCGTTCACGCACACTGCGTTAGCTCGTGCTAAGGGTCTGGACTGGGTCTTAAAAACGGATCAGTTTTAATCTGTAAATAGCATTTCTTAGTCCAAGCTAAGCGTTCAAGCACGCTTTCCTGGCATGGGCCACAGACCTTAAAATACATGTATTTTTAAGGTCCGTGTATGGGCTAAGGCACGTGACCGCTTAGGCCGTGCTAGATGTGTGTGAACGCTACTCGTATGATATTTTTGATACTACCTTCGTTATTACTCACTTGCAAGAACTACGTCTCTAGATTCTAATATTACAGTTATAATTATTCTAATGTCTATATGGCACTTTTCAATGCCTAACTCTATCTGGAAACTTTAGTTCTGTATTTTCGTCTATAGTTCAATTCAGCAACGGGAACACGTTACTCGGTAATATTTAACAATTGACTAGTTTTACAACAATATTGTTCATTCATTGACTATATTATTTAAAAGAAAACAAAGAAGCTTAAAAAACCTTCGAACTGAGTTGCGCAATTCATTAGAAACTCGCGCGAGAGCAGAATTGGAAACAAAAATGGGTTTTTCACGCCTAGGTCCGAGGTGAAAAGAGTTTACACAGTCGGAACAAATTATAGCAATCAGTGATAAAACATCTCAATCACTCACAGCTCTTGAACTCTTTCAACTTAAAGATTGGTGCTCATACATGTATTCAGCTGACGGTGACCTGCATTATTTGGAATAATGATACCTAAAAACAGTGTTGTTCATTCATTCATACATACAGACGATATTCCTTGTATCATGGGCAATGTGTTGTTCATTCATTCATACATACAGTTTTAGTGAAACTCGGGGACTAAAGCGAATGCTTTGCTGTGCTCTTTCAGTTACTAATACTGTATGTATAAGGTTTACTCTCATGACTAGTTAAAGTAAAGTCGCTGCAGGACAACACGCCATAACACTAACATCTTAGCTTATTCACACATACTAAACCGAATAGTGTAATTTGGTTTAAGACCACGCCATCTCCAAAACGCCATCGCGTATATTACTTACATTTCGACAGATTAACGTCAAAACCATGAACTACAGAACCGTTTTACTCTGGCTGCACTGTTCGTCTTCGTAATGCGCACCAAAAACCTTAAACTGACCTTCCCGATATAAGTTCATTATACTTCAGCGTCTTTGTTTGTTATTTACACTGCCACACTTGTATGTTAAATATCATAGATCACACAGATAACTCAAACACAAGTTTATGTGTTCGCATAGAGACCCCGGGAATATAGAACCCTGTGTACACATATGTGTGGCCATATAAACAGTTTATAATGCAGTGAGATCGTATGTACATATGCATGGATATAAATAAAGCGCGAGTTGACCTGCCCATTGTATTTGGCTTTTTTTGTTTTTGTCCAAGGTCGTTACTGAGCTGAATGTGCTTGGGTTGACCATGCGTGTCGTCATATGTTAGTTCTATCCGGGGTTAAATTTAAATTAGTAATGGCGTACGTGAGATCGTACAGATCAGGTCAATCTAGTAAATACTAATCTGTGTATCACTAACGTAGATTACTAGCAGTCTCCAGTGTATATCTAACTACGATCAAAGTCAAACGCAGTTCGTTGTACTGGATAGAGACAACGTCGCGTAGACCTCGTCCCTTTTAAGGGTAGATGGAATCATTTCAGCGACTAACATTATGTCTATCGCAAAATAATTCAAGAGACAGCCAGTTGGGTGCTACTAGTTTCTTGCAGGAGTTCTACGCGTGATTTATTGTGTTCAAAATTGTACCATTTCAAACTGCGCATGCATACACACATGATCACTAGTCACCCGTAACAAATATTGAAAACATTATGCGCGTTTTGAGCTATAGTACTGGATTGAACTATCAACAAGCCTCTGCACTCTCCGTAAATTTCGTAACTTGCTAAGAAAAAGAAAAAAAAACGTTGTTATAGTTTGTTGGAATCTGATCAAAAACGTGTATCAAAAAATACTTTTTCACCAGCTTTTCGATTATTTTTCAGCTTTTATCGATGGAATCATAAAATTTATAATTATCATGTTGGCAATCGGAAAGCATTTTGGAAGTTGTTTCTGGAAGGTTTTTCATTGTTCATGAATATCCATTTATGAAAAAGAAGAAACACGTATGAAGCAGATTTCCTTCAAAAACTTAACATAAAAAAGTAATTTACACATGGACGCGAAACCATTCAATTTCATTCTTAGGTATATTAATGACATACTTTAAATCGAAAATCCTTCCATCAATAATTAAATAAAATAAATAATAAATAAAAATGTTTATTCACTCAATAATAACTTACATGGGATTGATAACATCACATAAATTATTAAAAAAAATATGATAAGGAAATCAGAACATTAATTAGAGCTAGTCGAATCTGCGGTGATCATTTCTTGTGAATAGTTGAGCAGAATTTATTTGTCTTTGTTATATCCACCTGAATTCGAAATCAATTAAACCGCAGAATCAATTTCTCCTGCCTCATACCTTAAATTTGTCTCTAAGCTACGAATGTTGTCCAGTAGTCCCGTCAACGACTAAATAATTTAAATAAAGTAGTTGACTGTCTTGGATAAAGTTTACTGTTGCAGCTTTATGTATGTGCTCATATGAGATACTCACCAACGTGATTCGTTTTACAACCACATGTGATTTAGTAGTTTCTATTCTCAGTACGTAGCACAACGATCATATCGACATACGTGAAGTAAATAATCATTCAACGTGAGACAAATAACTTGATAGATCATTTAAAGAACTATATTCTTTTTTAATTATAGATCTTTCCACTTGAGCTAGGGGACAGCTAAAATTTACTGAATAGTGTTGTTTCATTGAACAATGTAATTACTTGTTTGCTTCATGAAGTGTGTTTTGGGTTTGTAGTAAATCATAAGCTAATATATTCGATCATTGGACTTATTGTTAATAACTGATGAGCCGAACATCATTACAGTGTGCCTCAAACATTAGTGCATTTTCAGAACCATTCTTAGACTCCGATGGAGAGATGCTACCTAAACTAGATGGTTACACTCCTATGTGTTGGAGAAGCATTGGCCAAGAATGATCTATTTCTCCTTTTTACAAGGATATTTAAACAGAATTAGAGCCGCACTGTATCGTGAAATCATAAGATGTTGTCCTTAAGAAGTCGTAGCCGTTGATAAAAGAGTAAACTCGTGTTAATTATACAACAATTTGAAACAAATCTACAGTATGTATACTGTCAACTTAAGTCACAAGATTTCACATCCTACTAAATTTGAGTATATTTATGAATATCACAAAACGTTTGAAATAGTCCCGAATTTGTATATATTTTATCAGAAAAAACATTTCAGGGGAGAAAAGCGCAGTGGTCCCCTTAACTGCATGTTTCAACCCGGCAGCATGAGGGCGTTCAGTGTGTTTGAATCCCAAATCAAGTCCTAAATGTTACAGCCAATTACCAACAATGATCCAGCATGGAGTAGACACACTTGATCGTAGCACAATCATACAATACTGAAACCCCAGTGAGGCTACAAGTAGGTCGAACACGGGATCATTTCTGTGTCAAAGTCTTTGTTCGTGAAAGCAACTATTTATCTTCAGTGACTAAGCAACGATAGTTTTAGCACAAAACTTGTTTTAAAAATCCCCGATGAACGATGACGGGCGGTCACGATTTCAGTATAACTCTGTAGTGCATAATGGCAAATTAATAGTCGCATTTTCTGATGTAGTGAAAGAATGTAACACAGTTTAGTACTTTACTTATATAATATAGGGTAGCTGACATTTCAAAATGTTTTTCTAAACAGAAATACTTCAACTATTTTGCTCTTTTCGATCTTTTCATTGCAAAGACTGACTTTGTTTTTATGTTATCTTGTTTAATCTGAAAAGGGTGATTTTCGTAACGTGTAATTTCTGTGATGAATAGATGGTGGTATGTTTTTGTTAACTTTTTAATTATATTCCTTAATATTCATAAATATTACTCAGTTAATATGTGAAATCCTGTGACATGAACTCTTGCAAATTTAACTTTTTTTTTTTCTTAATTTTCTGACTTACTTTCAATCCAATAATGTTTTTTAAATGTTAAAATTTAAAATGTTAAAAAGTCATCAATATAACACGAATTTTCTCATACAGTCAGATTCGGGGTTCTGACCTTTCTTGTAATTTGTTATAAACGGTTACAAATGTGTCATAGTATCCATATATTTTAATGTCATGAGAAATATTCTATGGTCTGTCCAGAATAAAACAAATTGTATTCAGAAATTGACAAATTCGTTTATTTTTGTCATATTACCGCTTATATATCGTTTGAAGCCATTGTCGTACGTCATATACCAAATGCAACTTTTACAGTATTCATTGAAGATATCTGGACCAGAGGTAATGATAACCATCTGTCAGATACGATATAAATAGTTTAGAGCCAAATAACCAGAAGTGGTTTATTCAACTTGTGTTACACCCTAATGTGAGGAAAGGTGC